TCTATAGTGTACACTGAAAATTTTGTTAAGAGGGTAAAACTCACGTTAAATATTCTTACCACACACTCACACACACACACACACACACAAACAAGATTTCACTTCTTTGTTTGGACTCCTGCAGTATCTAAAAGGGAGAGCTTAGCTATTAAAGAGCCTCGCACTATTGGTTTATCTGAGTTTCTATCTGATCATTTAAATCAGAAAACAAATTGTGCTGTTCTGTGATGGGTTGAGTGCTAGCTTAGATGCCCAGGGGCACTTAGAATAGGCATATCTGGTGGCTCAAAATGTAACTTCTCTTTCCTCTCCTGTGGAAATAAGGAGGTCACTAAAGCAAGGGCCTCAGACCTTTTAGAAGAGTCACACAGAGCAGCAGCCATTTTTTTTTTCTGCCGTGTAAAGCTGTCTCTGTCCCATGAGGACAGTTAACACATTGCCTTCAAGCCAGGACTCCTTTTATCCACTCACTAGACCCTACTAAGCACGGTCCCTGTTTCACAGATGACCTTCACTTTTCCCAGCTTGCCCTCACTTCACTTCTGAGAGAGAAGCCAGCCCTATCCTTATCCTCAAATTACTCTCAAGAAAACTCAGGCTCAGTCAGTGAGGTGACTTGACCCAATCATGTGTCTGGGAAGTAAGACACAGGACTTCCTCAGATCTGCTACTCCTCTGGGCAGCCGTCACCCTGCATCCTGCTCATTCTCTCGGCCGTTGTCAGAAGGAGTAATCTTGCTGCGGAGGCTTTCTTACACTCATTAAATATTTGGGTACCTACTGTGTTCTGGGACTGTTCCAGGCTGGTCACGCCTCTGCCTTCTTGTTCTAAAACCAAATTGCAAAACACTAAATACAAGTCTTTGAAATGTGAAAGTCCTATGCAGTCAAGCCCCCTCTCTGGTCAAACACATGTACCTGCAGACTGTATATTTTCCTAACCCCTTATACCAGAGGTCCCCAGCCTCCTGGATCTAATGCCTGAAGATCTGAGGTGGAGCTGATGTGATAATAATAGAAATAAAATGCACAATAAATATAATGAACTGAGTCATCCCCAAACCAACCCCTCTCCCAGTCTGTGAGAAAATTGTCTTTTATTAAATGGGTCCCTGATGCCAAGAAGGTTGGAGACCGCTGCCTTATATCATTGAAGGAGTCAGAATTCTTGGTTTGTTTTTTTTTTTTTCTGACCCCAGAGAACTGTGATGAGTTAAGCTTTTGGATACACTAAGGGAAATGTCAGGGATGTTTTCTCAGTGACTCTTACTGGCAGATCTTATTTTCGCTTGCAGCAGAAATAATAACTGTGGCCATGCTAACATATTATCCCAAGGTGAGGAAACTGTGGGCAGGGTGAGGGGAAAATGCATTTTGACACTCTTCCTTTGACTGATGCTATTTATGTGGCCTGCTGCGAACCTGAATTTGATTTCGGTCAGATGGCTTAGGAAATTCCAACTCCAGGAAGGGGCACCTGGAGATGACGCCATCTGCAGGGCCCTTCAGTGGTGTCTCTGATCAGGGCCATCTTTGATCTCTGTCTCTTGCTGCTAGGGAATGAGTGACTATCAATTACATAAGCTATCAGAGCTCAGGGGCTTGTCAAAGATGGATCCGGGTCAAGATACCCATCAGGCATCTGGAAAAGCAATTCAAGTGTTCAGTTTAGGGACAACTATTCAGCTCCTAATGGGGCTTCATTTTATTTAACTGCTTGACAACAACCCCATGAAGCTGCCTGGGTGACATGAAGAGAAATCTGTGAAGTTTGTGTGGTGGGGAGCCGAAGGTACTTTATATAGCCCACAGGATTCTGTAGGCTCAGCCAGTACGTGTCATGTGGAACACCCGTTCAGTGGACTGAAAAGCATTTCACACTTTTGGTTTTTCAAAGGACTCCTGTCAGCAGGTTTCCTGGGGCAAAGAATAACTGTGCCACAGTTGAACTTCACTAAGAGTCCTATCCAATCAGATAATGTCATACCACTAGGAGGAGGAATTTAGGGCTTTTCTGGGATAATAGGAATCTAATCACTGCCAATAGGATTTGTTAATGCAGGCCAGGAGGGTTGTCCATGAACACTGGCCTCTGGATTTTTACCCTTCACACAAAGTTCATCTTCCTTTCTCAATGCCTGTTCTCTGTCCTGAAGTCAGACTGGGTGCAGAAGAGGTTGTGCTCTGGTGCTCTGGTCAATATGAAGGTTTCTAGGGCTTAATTTGAAGTAAAAGACACATTATATGTTGAGTATAGCTTCAATGTAGGCATTGTGCTCAAAGCTTCCCCACTACATGCCCTTGGTAGATATTGCTAGTTGACAACAATACTCGCCCATTCAGCCTGGATTCAGGCTCATAATCCTTAGCAAATCTCCTGGCTGCCACAATCAATCAATGGGGGTTGGCAGGAAAAATAGCAACTGGGTGCCATCCGGGTGTTTAAAGTGATTTCCTCAAGGACAGCGACCACAGTTTCCTATCTCTTCACTTATGTTTGACTACATTCACTGCCTGGTGAAGGTCTGATGTTAAATTAGGAATTGCATTTTAAGGGTACCCACAGGCAGATGTGACTTTTTTTTTAAAAAGTGGAGGGGAAAAAACCCCTCCGTATGGAGCTACAGATAGCCACAACTCTGGGTCAAAGTCTGGCTGACACAGTCAAGTGTGCACACTCATAAAAACCACTCTGCAGCTAATTGGCCTTTGAAAATGGAATAGAACGAGCAAGAATCAAATCAGATCTACTCCCAAATTGGCTTTTCTCTGTTCTCTCTCCTTTCCTTCCTCCTCTTCCACCCACTCATTCACCTCTCCCTTTGCCTCTCATTTCATTTATATTTATGGGAATCAGGTAACATCCATTAATTGAAATCTACAACTTTTCTGTGAGTGCCTCAATAGGTTTGACAAGATGCTTACGAGCTTTGGGTTAAAAGTCAAACTGTCTCTATTTGCTTCCCTCACCCTCTCCCCTTACTAGCTGTAAAACCTCAGCCAAATTAACTTCTCAAAACCTCAGTATCTCCGTGGTAGCACAGAGCTGACAGCAGCATCACTTTATTGTGAGGCCAGTAGATGATTTTACTGTCACAAAGATGAAGATAAAACACAGCCCCTGCTTATGTGCTAGTTGATGAATTAGATTAGCAAAATATAAATAAAACAAAAATACAGACATTCCTCTTATGGTTGGGGTTCCCATAAAGCAAGCTGATACACGAGTGTCCATAATCTGGGGCACATCATGTTCATCACGTGGCTTTTGTCAATGATGACATAGTCTTGATTGGGAATTAGTACCATCCCTAGAAAAATGCCACTCCAAGTGCAACCCAGTGGCACTCTTTGTTTGGCTTTGTATATTATCACTCCAATGTGTAGATAATGCTGTGCTGACTTTGGTCCCATTATGATGGGTGGGAGATAAGGGAAAACCTTAACATTGAGCTGCATATTAATAAACACTGAGTTTTCTTAGTAACGCTTTGTATTTTTTTTTTTTTTTTGGCTTACCCTTTCATGTACAAAATGCTTATTGAAATTTCTATAGGAAAGAGAGCTCAGTTATTTCTAGAACTCTGGTCCCTGATCCCATTTTACCCATTGAAAGAATGATATTCTATAAGGTAGTTTTTGATAACCCAAGGTTTCTCATTGATTCATCCATCCTCTTCCATCCATGTATCCATTTATGTATTTATCCACCTATCTGACAGAAATTTAGTGCCTAATATGTGCTAAAATGGTGCTAGATGCTGGGTACAATGGTATACACAGAGTCCCTTTCCTCGTGGAGCAATATAATATTTGCAAAGTTCTAATGAAATTGCATTTGCTAACACAGAGATTATTATCCTGTGGTAGCAGACAGACTGCATGCACCAGACTTGACTCTAAAGTCTAAAAGGGGAAGAGCAGAGAAGGTACCAGTTGGTGGCCAGGGGAGAAGGCTGCGTGCTCTGATAAAATCCACCATGTCTTCCCCCTTCTGGGTTATAATATTTCCAATTATAGACAATTGATTTTGCAATCTTTAAAAGTAGGAATAAGAGGATTTTTAGAAACCTTCAGGTTTTTTTTAAAATTTAAAGCATATAAGCTAAGTAAAACAATGTACTTACTTTCAACCTGATTGCCACCTCAAAGCCCCATCCACCCAGAAATTCTGGGTAGAATTTAGGGAAAGGAGAAGTCAGTACAGGCGAGAAGACAGGAAATGGTCTGTGAACTGAATCCTCAAAAGATGATTAAAATCTTGACCTTAGTTGCCCTAGGCTTCCATGCACAATCAGCACAGGATCACAAAGAAAGCCCCCAGGTGCCCAGGCATGTCCTGGCTTGGAGCAGTAGCATCTATGAGGACCTAGTGCTTGGATTCTGTGTTCCAAGCTATAGGGCTTCCTCTCTGCTTCTCATGCTGTGTTGGGCCTTGTCAGGGGCTCCCTTGACTCTGCCACTGGGATGCTCTAATTTTACTTGGTTGCTTTAATTCCTCACTCTAGAGGAAGAAAGTACAATTGGTGTTTTATAATTTGCCTCCAGACTCCTTTAACAGTTACCTTCAGCACAGCAGATCTGAGGCACCTCACTTTAGATCAGCTTAGAGGCTCAGAGGAGAGTATTTACAGAGTGACTTGGGACACGAGGATTTCTCCAGCGGGGCCAGTTCTGGTGACTGCCTGGGTTGCTGCTACACTGGGGGTGTCGTAGTGGAGAAGTCCAAAGACATGGATTCCAACTGTGTGAACTGGATCAAGTCACTGCACCTCTCTAGACAGTATTTTTCTCATCTGAAATATAAGGAGCCTAAATTAAAATTTCCTCAACTGTGGTGAGTCACATCATTTCAAGTTTGGTTAAAGGATAAGCATTTTTTATTTACTAGCCATATATTTTCATGGTCCATTCCACTTATGTTTAGTAATACTGGATTTTCATAATAATGATAATCGTTTCTTTAAAATAATTTATTTTCCTCATGTGATTTCACTCACAAGCAGACCATGGCTCCTTTTTCGCCCTGGGCCTCCGGCACTGAATTGTAAACCCTCCAATGTCCTTTCCAGAGTCTTCTTCCTGCCCATTCATTTCGTGATGGTTTTGAGGGAAACTGTTTACTTTGTGTGTTGAGTGCTGGACGGGCCCTTATTAGAAAGGCAGACAGCCACCTGGGGCTCACATGGTGTGGGGTTGGTCATCCAGGGCTTCCCAACAACCATTCAGTTCCATCTGACTTTCAGCTGTTGCCATGTCTGTGTGCCATGTCTGCTAACAATGATTTGATATTTTCTTCAGATGGGCCGGATTTACTTCTTACTCAGAATTATTTGTAAAGTTTTTGTAGATGTTTTGCACATTTACCTGAAATAAGAGTAAAACCAGCACACCAGCCCAAAGAATGATCATGACCCTTTACACTCTTTAAACTTTAGTTCCCTAGAAATTTCTCAAGTTCCCTAGGATCTCTTTTGCCAGAGTTTCAATATGAGATCAATTAATTCATTTGCTTTGTGGACAGTTAACTATATAGACGAGGCTTTAAATTCTTTTTTTTAATTTTGTAACCTGGACCTATTCTCCTGCATCCAAAATTTTCAGCTCAACTGAAACAAGTGAAGTTGTCAGTGAAGAAAAGATGCATAGAAGAAAATGGGTTTCTTGAAAATTAAAGAAAGTTTGAGGTTGGGGAGACAGTCACTGTATCATAGTTATAACAAAATAAGCTCTAATGTAATGATTTACACACTTTGGCAAGCTCAGAATTTTTCTATGACTTAGTAGTATAAAAGAAGTCCAGTTGAAAATGAGCAAAAGACTTGAATAGACATTTTTCTAAATATATACAAATATCCAACAAGTACATGAATTGTATTGAACATCACAAATCATAAGGAAAATGCAACTCAGAACCACAATATCACCTCCCACTTGGCAATTATTTAAAAAAAAAAAATAGGAGATGATGGAATGTGGAGAAAAGGGAATGCTTATATACTGTTGATAAGAATGTAAATTGGTGGAGCCATTATGAAAACTAGTATAAGGGTCCTCAAAAAAGTAAAGATAGAACTACCATATTATCTCCCGGTCCTATATCTAGCAATATATCTGGAAGAAATGAAATCACTTTCTCAGAGATATCTGCACCACCCCCATGTTCATTCCAGCATTATTCACAGTAGCTAAGACAAGGAAGCAACATAAATGTCTATCAATAAAGACTATATTGTATATCTATATTTATGCTGGAATATTATTCAGTCATAAAAAAGATGGAACTCCTGCCATTTGCAGCAACATGGCTGGACCTTGAAGGCATTATACTAAGTGAAATAAATCAAACAGCGAAAAACTATTACTTTATGACCTCACTTTTAGTTAAGATCATTTTTAAAAAAGCTGAACTCACAGAAAGAGTAGAATGTGATTTCCATGGGCTAAAGGGTAAGGGAAATGGGGAGATGTTGCTGAAAGGATACCAACTTCCAGTTAACTTCCAGAGATGAACAAGTTCCAGGAAGCTCATGTTCAGCACGGGGATAGTAGTTGACATTACTGAATTATGTCCTCGAAACTTGGCATGTGAATAGAGTCCTAATGTTTCTCACCATAACAAAAAAATTATGTGATATGATGGAGTGTAAACGTTTTGCAGTAGATACACATACTGAGCCATCAGATTGTATACCTTAAGTTTACACATGTTATATAGGTAAATTATAGCCCAATAAAATTGGGAGGGAAAAGAGCTTTCCTGGGAGCATTTTAAATAAAGATCCCTGTGCCCACTCAGCAGACAGGTGTGGCCCCAGGTGATCCTTACACAGGTCCAGGGACTGGACCACACTTTAAAGTTCTCTACCTGGGTATAAAAGTTTACCATTTTAAAGGTATTTTGGGGGGGAGATTTTTGTTTTTATCAATAAAACATTTATCTGGAGATACATTAAATATGCACACGCATATATACAGAAATTGCTATTTTTTCAGGATAAAACTGTTTGAAGATCACCTGTTTCATATTGCCTGATAAAATAACATTCAGAAGAATGTGTCATCACTGGGTCAGGGGAGAGGAGATACCACTGAACATGAAGGCGGTGAAATCAAAGTGTTGTTTTCTAAGCCTCTGAACTGAGTTGCAGGAACTCCAGCTTTAGTCACCTCTGTGGCCTGTGCAGGCAGAAAACTGAAGGGAACCGAGCAGCTCCTTCCCCTCACCCAGGCCTGGCGGCTGAGGGGGCCCCTCTGGGTGGAATGTGTGTGTGTCATCGGGGCCCCAGGTTCTGCATCTGGGGAATCAAGGAAACCCTGAGGTTCTTCAGCAGGAAGGCCATTTTACAGGGCAAGAAGTCAGTACAAGCAATTGAGTCGATTCATTGAAAGGACAGCAGCCATAAATGTAGGACGGAGAAGCGAAGCATGTGTGCTCACTCGTGTCCAACTCTTTGTGACCCCACAGACTGTCCACGGAATTCTCCAGGCAAGAATACTGGAATGGGTTGTCATTTCCTCCTCCAGGGTCAGGGATTGAACCCACATCTCTTGTATCTCCTGCATTGCAGGTGGATTCTTTTCCACTGAGCCACTGGGGAGACTTTTAGGGCAGACATTGGAATCTAAAGGTACAAATCTCTCCATTTTGGCAATGTGTAGTCTAAGACTCACAGTGTTGCAAGTCAACAATTCTTTACCTTAAATCTTCTCTTTTTTAAAGAATAGAATTTATATATTAGGATGTTCCCTGTAAATTGTATATTTTCGATATGCCCGCATCCTCCCACCTGCCTCACCGACCAGAAGAGGATACTATAATAGAAAGAGAATAGTTAAATAGATTGTAAGGCCTATAGCACAATTAAATATTCTGTAAGCACTAAAGTCATATTTTTAAAGATGAGTGACATGGCAAAAAGCCACTGAGGCAGTCACCATCTTGTGGATCTACTGTGTGTCAAACCCTGTGCTAAAGGCTTGGAGAGGAATCCACAGCTCTGACCTGGAGGAGAGGAACAAACAGGCAAGCATAGTGTGCATGCTGTGCTCAGGTGGGAGTGCTTGCTCGGGACTCTGGGACACCTCCCCAAAGAGGGTAGTCCCAGCAGGATGACGAAAGGATGGATACTTGAGCTTGGTGGGCATGAGTTAGCCCCAGTAGAGATAAAGTGGAGAAGCTTTCTGGAAAAAGAGTAATACACACAAAGGCAGTAGAAGCTCAAAAGGGGGTGTTATTCAGGCAAGCTAGAATGATTCATTCTAGCTGGAGCTTCAGGTGACTGACGAAGGGATGGGCATGGGGAGAGAGAATCACAGTAGCAGTAGCCTTCTCTGAGTGCCCTCCATGTTCCAGGAACTATGTATCCACATAGAGTAATATATTGTTTCATTCCATGAACATGCTATGAAGAAGTGCCAAGGCAAAGTTTTGACCATAACATTGAACTCCAATGCCTGTGTTCTTAGCTTTGCCCTGAGGCTGAGCAGCTGACTGAGGTCAAATTATCGAGGCCTCATTTTCCATGTAAAGCAGCTTGGATGTGGAGTCAGGGAGAAATTCAAAACATGATCTATAATAGCCTCAATTTCCCCACAAAGAAGAATTCAGCAAAAAAGTTATGTGCATTCAGTAGAATAGTGTGCAAGCATTAAAATGATAGTTTTCAACACTAGAGATATGGACAATGCTTAATCTGATATTTAGAACTTTTTCCAGTACAAAATTGATAAATGTTGATTGTAGAAAGTGAAAAATTCAGAAAAACCATAATAAAAAAGTAAGCGTACCTTCCAAAAATAACTACTTTTCTTCTACATGTTTGTGTATATATGTGTGCATATATAAAAAAAAAATTACGTTTGTAAGTTGTATAGTTTTATATCTTGTCCCATTATATTAAAACCATTTTCCCATGCTTATCATTAAGTGTTCTCAGAAAACATACATTTTAATGCATGCATAATCCATTGTATAGATAAATAATTATTTAAATGGATAAAAGACAAGAATACAGAGTTGTAGGACTTTGTGATTGCAGCTATGTAAAACTGGCATAAGTAACAAATTAATAATGCTGGGGTTATGAATTTATTCTCCTTCTATTTTCTCTAATGTGATTATTTTCATGACTTAATTTTAAAAAAAACTTTCAGCCCTTGGCATTAACTCATTCAGCAATGGAAAATTTTTCATCATTTTACAGTTTGCCAAAATCACGAATTAATGATAAAGCTGTACTTCAGTTTGACATCCCATTCTGGGTTTGGGTTTGGAGGAAATGTACGTTGAGAGAGAGAGGAGGGAAGGAGATGGAAAAATTCTCCACAATGCCCTTTCAATGTCACTGCTGTTGAAAACACAGTGTGTGTGACAGTGTGGCTGCAAAACAGCGGGAATTACGCTTTCCAGGAGAAATCCCAGTGTGCAGATGAAAGGCTGCCTTACAGCACCCACTCCCATCTGAGAGATGGAGAATTACTTTGCCAATATAAAAAGTAATAAAAACCAGAAGAGACTTGTTTTGTTAGGCTGATATTGTTCATGCTGATTTATTGTCTGATTTTTTTTTTTTTTCCTTCTGAACATAGTCACAGACAAACCAAAGGGAAGATTGAGGATTCTAATCAGAGACTTTGGTGATCCATGGCTCTGAGAGTGAAATGTAATTCAGGTTATAGCCCTCTTACTTTGGCATCTACAGCATTTCGTAGGGAGAGAAATATAGAATCTGGCCTGTAACAGTGAGGATATAATTTGTTAGATGGGCAAGAGGTGAGGGGAAAATGTGACAGAGAACTACTCTATCAAAACATCTCCAAAAGTTCCTTGAGCTACAGAACTGTTAGGAGGTTAGGTCTTTTCTATTACAAAGAATTTATTTACCGCTCTTTTAGGAAGCCAGTTCAGTTCAGTCTCTCAGTTGTGTCCAACTCTTTGTGACCCCATGGACTGCATCATGCCAGGTCTCCCTGTCCATCTCCAACTCCTGGACCCTATTCAAACTCATG